TCAGGTGGCCAGACTGTGTAAGACAGCGAGTAACAGAACTGCAGCATTTGATTTATGGTCAGCAGAGCACTGCAGGCAGCTAAGATTCCTCCTTAGCTTGGCAGCACCTCTCATTTTTGCTAAGATGACTACTGCTGCAGAGATCTATTGCCATTGAAGGATCTGAGCTGGTTTTGCATACCTATGAGGTCCTCCCTTGGTGCTGTTGTCACTTTTATCAGCTAGAATAGTGTGCCTTTGTCTGGATAGTGGGAAAGCTAATGCGCTGCATGGCAAAATCACAAAACATCAAACCCAGGTAAAACCTGACAAATCAGATAGATCAACATTGGAAAGCTGCTTATCCCCCAACTCATGAACCCTCTGTTCCCACCTAAGTTACCAATATGAGGAACCTTCTATTAGATAGGGTGGTCCAGAAGTGCAGGGTAGCAAATGAACGACGGGCTTGTGAGTTTGCACTGATCCTTCTGCTAGTTTTGCCTGCAGCTGGGCTTTGGGGCTGTTTTTTAGTTTTGTTTTTCCCCAATAAAATTCCTCGCTGTTGTAAAGCTGTGTGGTTCCCATTCCAAAAAGTTCTGTTAACTCATGCGACCTCTGAAGGAATTAAACATGTTTTGCTTCCTAAACAGAAAGCCACTAGAATATTTACATAGTGAAGTAGTCCTTTAAGATTTATCTCCTCCTTCTTCCTGGATTTTAAAAGAAAATAAATTCCACTTGCTTGAAGTTGATTTCTGCTTTAATATTTTTAATGATGTGTTGAGGACAGTGGGCTGGAAGCACAGGGATTAGAGCGCTTGGTTCTCTTCTCAATTTTGTCAGGGACATGTGTTAATTCAAGTAAACTCTGACCCTCCTCTTCTCTTCCTCCCCAGCGCACTCTGTTTTCTATTGTGTAAAAGATGTCTAATGATAGCTATGGCTTTAGATTCTTACAGGTTTATTCAATACTGAAAATAATGACTTTCACAGAAATGCAAGACATTTTTTCTTGGGTTTATTACACTTCCTCTTAATTCCTGTAGATCATTTAAATCACGTTTAAATGTCACTTTTGAAGCACAGTATTGTGTTCAGTATTCAAAAACTGAAAAAAAATTTTTGTACTTTTTTTCAGTATCCTCCCATCTGCCAAAACTCAGGCCTTTTGCAAAAATCAGCAAATTGACGTCAGTTCATTTACCCTTAGGGATAGTAAATTACTGCACAGTTTAAGTTATAAAAATAAATAACTAAGGATGGTGGAGGAAAGAGGTGGAAAACAACAAAATTCTTTCACAAACTCTCCCTGGATTCTGAAGAATATATGATTATAGCATTAAAATGTCCAAACAATGCAACTGAGCAGAAGGCGTTAGAGCTTGGGCCTTAGCTGGTGCTGGATTAAACTGCCTTAATGTTTTTATACAGCCTTTGGAAAGCTCAGAATTGACCTGTTTTTATTATTTTTATTGGCTCCCTTGATAGTAGACGAATGGGGCTAACCTGAGGCCAACATAACCAGCAGGAAATTTGGGTCATGGGTAGTTACATTTTTAAAACTTGTGTTTTAGGGTTGTTCATTCAGGGTAATTGATTGATTGTTAGGCAGTGCAGGGAGCCCCTAAATCATCAGAGGTGGCCAGATAATGACAATCTGCCAGTGGATTTTGTTTGAGGCAAATTTCCCAGCTCCCTGCGGAGCCGTGCTCTGCAGTAAGGTTGTAAGTCTGCCCGCCCCCCCCCCTTTGTTTTGTTTTTTGTTTTTTAACACTTGCTCCAGTCCAACTGGCCTGTTTGGACAAAATAGCCTCTGAAACTTGGCAGTTGCATTTGAAGTCCTCTGTAGCGCCATTTCCCAAGAGATAAGGGAAAAACATTCCAGAGAAGTTCATACCCCAGAAAGACCCTACATGCGTTCTGAAGTTAATGGTTTATTGTGGCTCTTTAATTTTTTTTCTTCTTTCATTTTTACTTTGAAGATAAGAGGTGGCAATTGTTGCTTTAAGTTGTTGAGTTTTAGCCCTTCAGTAAATCACCCTGAAAGTTTAGACCCATTTTTTTTTATCATGTGTGTTTGAAAATTTGCCAGAGATGCTGTACACGTGTATTTCAGGAGATAGTGTCCTCAAGCAGGAGCTGTTGACGTACTATTTGTACGATCACGTGCATCTTCAGTGCTCCACGCATTTGGAAAATTTGTGCGTGCAAAATAGTGTATCCCTTTCAAGAACTCATCCTTGCTGTTACAGGAGTGTGCTACGGGATACTAAGAGAGTTTGTGTGTTGGGAGGAGAGAGGGGGAATAGATGATGTGCCAGTAGATGATGTGCAATAATACCTGGTGTAGGGCTTGCCTCTCCTTAAAAGTGAATTCAGATTAATGTAGATTGAATTTTGTCATCTATTCCAGAATAACTCCACATGGAGTTAATCTTTAGTTCTTGGATTTTTAGGACTGATTAGGCTTTTGTTTGTTGCAGGTGGCTTCTTCCTGGTAGCTGCATACCTCTGCATCCCTTGAAGTTTTGTCTTTTTCCATTTTAGGATCTGGATGATCTGGTATTTGTTGTTACTAGTGTACAGATGAGAATTGGTTTGTGTCACTTTTCAAGAAGAGAACAGGTAATACTGAACTGAGGCAGGGCTCAGTTAAAATTTGGGAACCAACAGCCTTGTCTTGAGGGTGGCCCAGCTGCCAGCGTATGCCAGACTGGTGCCAAACACCATAGACTTGCTTCCCAGGCAGAGCAGCGCCCGGCCTGCTGTGCGTGTGATTTAACACTCCCTGCCCAAACACACAGAGGGTGCCAACCCCTCCCAGATTTCTGAATGTTGCTTTTTGGCTCCCAAATGCTTTTGACCACTGTAGCTTTGTAATTTACTACTTCAAGTCCACAGTGTGCACTTACTGTTAGGTTTAGCATGTGGGAAGTTAGAAAATTCTTCTCTAAGGTATGTATTCGAATAGAAATATGGCATTTGACCACATTAAAGTCCCTTGAAAGATGGGTCCATGGCAAAACTTGTATGTCAGGAGCAGGGTGGTGCCCAAAGTCCGCAGAAATGTTGTTTCCTATAGCACAGGCTGGAAGAAAGATTCTTGAGAGCTTGAGTTATTTGTGCTGTCTTTATGATTGAGATCTGTAGTGGATCAGTGTAGGTATAAAAATTACAGTTTAGGAGATGCTTGTTAGTGTTTCTGAGATTGTCAAAGAACAACTAAAACAAAATACAACCAAATCCAGGACCCCCTGAAGTGTTGTATGGAATATGCCAGGCGGCGAAACTTTCAGCTTCTGTATTCCTGAAGTTTGACTCTGAAATCCCTGCCCAAGTTTCGGAAAAAACTACTCAGTTGTGAGAGGAGCTCAGAACTAAATTAATGTAGTTTAAAACAGTGATAAACCTAGTTGCATGGTTTTGTTATTGTATAAGCCTGTGTCTCTCTCTGGTTTGTTTATTTTGTGTTTTATTTACTTACTGTGAATCTATTTAAAGGGTATGTTATTGGTTGTGATGCCTAACTAGTCTGTTTGAAGTTACTGTAGTAACAACCAAGAATAAATGTTTGCAGACTTGCCGTATTGGACTATAGGAGATTCAGCTGTACACTATGACCTGACTCACAGGTTTTTACAGGGAGCTGTTTGGTGCTCACAGGGCAAGGGGCAGGGTATAGAGGGTGGTGTTGCAGAAGACCTCTTGGATGGATCCGACTGATGACTGACATCAAGTCAGGAAGGCCGTGCTTCTCTCCTCCCACACCTCCCTCCCTGCTCAGGAGCATTGTGATCTTCCTGCTTGCCTTGCACTGGTCCCACTTCTCACCTGGTCCCACTGCTGAGCTGCAAACTAACCCACAGCAGAAAACTAGTGTGTGGATACGCAGGTGTGTGTGCGCACAGCAAGGGTGGCAGGTTGCTGCTACGATTAGCTACTCCACTGTCCTGAGTGGCAGAGACCTGCACAGTGGGTCTAAACCCCAGCCCTGGTGTTACGTGATGCAGATGTCAGCATGGCCCTTCAGGGGATTCATGTCTGAAGTCTCCTTTTTACAGCCACAGGAAAGCTGTATGGACACCTCTCCTACAAAGATGAGAAGAAGCAAGTGCCATTTCAGCTACTGAGGACCTAGGACATGGAGCATACTCTGCTTCCCCCTCCTTTTCTCTGCCAGCCTCCTCTCCTCATATACACGTTATGATCATCTTTCAGCTTCATGGTCACATACTTCTCCCCGCTTCCACATGGCTTTTGCCTTACCTCACAGCATGGATATGCTGTGGGAATGAGCCTGACCTGCCTAGCAAAGAAGGCTTTTTTGACGTGGAAGACCCCTGTTACGTGGCTTGCAGAAGGTGGCAAGTGTGCTGTGAAGGAGGCAGAGGGAGAAGAGGGTCAGGGCACATGCCAGGCAGGTGATTGCTGCCCTGTCCTTGCTCCTTGTTGTACAGCTCCTCTGGGAAACCCTGCCGGTCACTTAAATCACATGCTTCACAGGTGGTTCCCTCTGTTTCTAATTTTCTGGGTTTCTGACCTGAAGGCATAAGGTCAGGCTCGCAGATGCGCAGAGAGCTTGCAATAGCAATTAAAGTCAATGGGAGCTGGGCTCTGAACTCCCTGCTCAGCTACAAAATCAGGCCCAAGGAGGAGGACCAGAATTTAGAGGAAGTGTTTGACCTTGTGTTTTGTACCATTTTTACCCATACCATGAAGGCTGATGCTCCTGTCCTCTCATCTTACTTGTACATGGAGAAGATCTAATCATCAGGCTTTTCAAGTGCTAAGAGTGCCTAGGAAAAAACTTGTAGGAAACTAATAAATTTGCTATTTCAGCAGCAAAGAAGTCACAGTATGATGTGTTGACAAATAAGAATGCAAATATTGAACAATGTTTCATTAAATGAGCACTGCTGTAATGAGAAATAACTTGTGAGTGCAGGCAGGAGTATGTCTGATGACAACTGATAAGCACTACGGGGGCAATCTGACACAATCTTCCTTCTGTTTTTCAGACTATTGGCGAGTCAGAAATGCCCAGTGTTTTGAACCAGTTATTGCCAATGATAAAGTCTTCCAGTGAGAGGACGAAAGATGATTATACCTGTGAGGACTTCCTGGTCTTGCTGATATACATGTATTCTGTGGTTGGAGAAATCAAAAGTGGAAAAGAGCTGGACGCAGCTGAAGAAGAGGTGAAAAAGGCTCTAGTTAAGGCCGTTTGTGATGAGCCAGAGCCATCTCCTTTGTTGCAGAAAATAACAGGTAAGATTCTGCTTGTGTGGTGAGAAATTGGATGGCTGGGAACGCAGGAACTGAGAGGAACATATAAAAGTGACTTGGCTCATCTGTGGCTCTGAGGGTACGTAAGTAAGCACAAGGATTTCCTGTAGATTTGTTCATATATGCCAAATGCTGACAGGCTGTCCTTGAAGAGTGCTGAGTTTGATGAAAGCTCTACAAGTTGTTCTTTTTGTTAAAGATTGGCTAAGTTTGTGTGTTTTCATAAGGTAATCTTTTCCACAATTTCTTTCATTGATCAGTGTAAAGTTGACCTCGGGAAGTCAAAATTAATTCTGGAAACATGTTCAGTGAACCACAGTTGCTTTGTGAATATGAGGAGCTGGCCTGTCTGGCATAAAAGAAGAAATGTGTCTAAAACCAACATTTGAGCTTTTTGCTGAAACGACATGAATATTAGCCTTTAAAAATAGCACACTAAGCCTTTTTTAGATGAGTGCTTGTAGAGTAGGAAAGCCCTAAACCTCTTGTTGCTGGTGTCACATTTTAGAAAAAAATAATAGTTAAAAACATTTGTTAAAATGAATGAACTATTGCTCAAGGGTAGTGTATCTGAATGGCAGAAGGGATCTCGCTTCCTGCTGTCAGTTTTCTTCGTATTTACTAATAGTGAGCAGGTCGTTGACCAGGTCATCTTTGAGGTAGGGAGCATATGAGCATAAATCAAGATGTTGTGAAGATCTTACAGTTAAAAGCCTTTGCCAAGAATGGGCCTAAGTGGGGAGTCTCAAGGGCAGTGGAATAATACTGCTGTTGGTTGTTCTGATACTGTTCCCTGTGGATGCTTCTTCCAAATACAGGTGTGGTCTGACCAGTCTGCTGTTGCTTTGACTGTAAAATACTTCAATGGTTAAAAGACTCCTACTGTAGGAATGGACATGTTCAGTCATATTTGCACTGTGCTGTTAATACTCCTGGCCATGGTGCCCGCGGTGTTCCAGGTTTCTTGTAGACTTTTGCTCTTCTGTTTTTCAATATGTACTGCACATGTTGTCCACCATATGGTGCTTCCTTTACTATTTCAGTGGTGTCTTCTGCCGGATATGGTACAGTCCAACCCCTCATTTCTAAACCCACATTTCCATATTTTGCCTTTTCTCCTCTGATTGCCAGTGTTTTGAATCACAGTTTTATCAGTCACTCTTCATTGTCCCTAAGAAAAGTATGGGAAGATTTGAAGTCTCTTAAACTTTCAGTAAAATACCAAAGAGAAGCCAGGGACCTTGCAACCTTCCATTGCTGTATCTGTGTATTTAGCACAACTATGTCAGTGCTTTTTGCACAAGTATGTGATAGTGTTCCCGCTTGCTTGCATACTTGTTTATCAGCACTCTTTGTTTTTACCTCTTTATTTAGAGTGACAATTCTTTTGACTTATTCATAAAAGAGGAAAAAAATATGATTAAAATTTACTGTCATGACCAAAAATAAGAACTGTCTTGGGAGGAAAGTGTAAAGTGGAATTTCCAGGACTTTGGTAGTTCTCAAGCCTTTATTCATGCAACAGATTGCTTTCTCAGCATTAGTGGAATTTGCTGAATTTGTAATGTGCTGTATTTGCTGAAGAGTTGATTTGGGAAGACTGAGAAAACATGCACAGCCTTAGACCTGCTCTTCCTTGACCTGTATTTTGCAAGACCTGTGTTCTACGTCCTGCTTCCCTCTGAATCTTGGGTACCTTGCTCGCTGCTTGAGAGGCAAAGCAAGTCAGAACCCTAGGAGCACCTGCAAGCTGTCTTTCAAAGGCACAGCAGGAGGACTTTCTTTGTAGCAGGGCTGAAAACCAGGGAACAGATGGCAGCGCCGGTTTCCCCTTTTGGTGCAATGCCGAGACATCTTCTGCTTCCAGCAGAACACAGTATGAACTACAGACCGGCTAGTCCTTTTAGCAGGTGCAGGTTGGCCTGTTTTCACCAGATCAACCTGGCTCTGCAAGTTAGCAACAGCCATGGGTCTGGACTGGTCATGGTCCAGACCTACAGCGTACTGCCCTCATTTTACTTTAAGTCAGAAACAAGAGAAAACCTTTTTTGCTCTTCAATAGCCACAGAAGTTAATTAGACTAAAATAAATTTCAGTAGTTCTTGGAATCTCTTATTCATGATCAGAACAAAGCAAAATACTCTTTTATTTTGAGGTTTCCATCAAGGTAAATGATAGAAAGATTGTTAAACTGGATGTGTCAGTAGAGAAGAGTAAGCCAGTACTGTCTAGCTTCAAGACACTGCCAGCTGGCTCCTTCCTCACCTCTAGGTTCCCATGAGGGACCTCAGTTCCTGAATATTCAATATCTACTCTGCAGTAAATCTGCTCTTATTAAGGAGCTTAACCTGCAAAGCTGCAGGTTTAAGTTTCAAACCCTGCTAGCGATGCATGGTTGGACAGTTTTGGTTATAGCAACAGGTAACAAAGTTCACTGTTGCCTTTAAAAAGGCATACAAGAAGTTATACTATGTAGGCTGCAAAGCTAAGCATTTCAAAGTTGAGAAATGCCAGTAACTCAGTTTCCCATGCAATCACCGTTTGACTCCTATGTGCACTGTAGCACAGTCTTCAATTTCATGATTATATAGTGTATTTTCTGAGCCATGGCTGCACTCAGTGTATGGACTGAACAACAGAGAACCAGAAAAATACAGCTTCAGTTATTCTTACACATGATGAATAAGTACTAATAAAGTAAGTGAGACTCTCCATATGATATTCAGTGAGTAACTTTCTCTGAGTCTCAGTTTGCAGTCCATGAAGTGGGCTGGCACTCTCAGCTTTGTGTGACTCATTTTGGAACTCAAAGAAGAAAAGCATTAAATTACATTTTCGGCTATTAAGTGATTACCTTTCTTTGAACAGAGAGGACTTTGTGCTCTGCTTGCCAATACACCTGGTACCTGATGTTTTGGTTTTAGTTTGGACCCAACACTGTACTAAGGCTGTTTGGTTGATTTAGGCTGAAATTAAAAGGCATATCTCAGGCTGTGGCTCTGAACTGCTGCCTAAGCCTTTTGCTTTCCTCTTTGCAAAGCATGGAAGTTGTGCAAACTTGACAGATACACGTTTTTGTTGGTTTTATTTGTTCCCATGGAGTCACTTGAGAAATAAAATGCAAACCCCTTGTAAAACTTTATAAAACTTGACTTTTGAGTTCAAGTCACCAGTCAAAGTAATAGCTGGGTTTATATGAGCTATCTTTTATTCCTATTATACTTGTTAAATGTAAGCTTACTTACGAACGCCTGAGTCTATGCTTGTAGGAAGTCTCCAGTGATGTGACTACCTTGCAGAACTAGCGCAAACCTCCCTGAAAAGATACAGCTCATCAGTGCTTGGGGGGTATTTATGCTATGTCTGGTTTTTGGTGATATCTAGTGAAACTGGATTAGTACTTGCAGTAGTGGAAAAGAAGGCAATTCTTGGAGATGTTAGTCTATCCGTCCAGTTGGCCACACTGGATTTCCCTGATGTAGCCTAGATGATCACAGCCCTCTGCACAATACGTTAATATGCAGCACTTGCGTAAACTTATATTGTGAAAGAAGCATAAGCACTCACAATTTCCTGGCTGTTGAGTGTTAGGCTTCTCAGCCTTATTGTTGTCTGAACATTTGTTTTCCAAAATATTTGTACAATAGCATTCTGCATTTATCTAACACCTTGTTTCATTGAAGCACTAAAAATACCGTGGAACTGTTAATTAAAATGAAAAAGCAACACGTTAATCACTCAATGAGATTTAAGAAATATGATACAATTTTTTTGCATGCATAATAATATAGAAGTATATTAGTGGTGTTGTGTTTGATGGAACTGTTAAATAATACGTGTTGTGGTAGACTATCTTAATGCCTTGGGTAATAAAACTGAATGTAACAGTTCCAGGATTTCTCCTGAGTGTAATTTACCACAGACATATGTTCTTCATCACCGTTTCCAGCAGAATGTTACAAATTGAAGGGGAAACAGAATAGACCAAAACATAATGGAAAATTATGGTTTTCAACAGAATGTTCGGTTTGTGGGCATTGGTGAGGGGGTGTCTTTTTGGCAGCTGTTTAAAAAGAAAAAAAAGCTGTAAAATATCGTATTTATTTTATCATCTTATCTGTTCATCTAGTTTTGTAAATGTCCATGTAGAGCTGTGTACAGCCACAAATGTATGCAAAAGTAATGCTAATAGAGCCGCGAAGCATTTAAAAATCTATTTTTTCAGCTGCACCCTTCTCTCCTTGTCATCTGCAAATCTCTGTGGGAGCTTTGTAGAGCAGATCTGGCTCTGATGGTGTGCTCCGGCGGCCAGCCCTGGGCTGCGGGGCAGCTGACTGCACTGCCCGTGTGCAGCAACTCTCAGCTGGTAGGGCTGTAGGTATCAGAGCATAGGTGTGGCAGGAACCTTCTTGTGCCAAGAACTGCTGTTTTATCAGCTTCTGAAAACTGAAATTTTACCTTGCTTTTTCTAAATTCCGTGTGTGGAAGCCTAGGCATTGCCGTATTGGGTTAGACACATGGTGTCTTGGCTGCTTCTGATTGTCTTCAGCACACAATTCTTGGGGGAGATGTTGCACATTAAGGAAGTTACACGCTAATGAAGGTATCATTACCTTACTGCTAGCGTGGCCTAAGTGTCATGAATCCTAAAACTGATCCTGGTTTTGCAGTAAGCATTTACATTCCTAGACAGGGACAGCCAGTTCCCTTGCAGGACAGACACGCTTGCTTTAATTTGGCTGTGGTCTTGGCTTCACTGCAGGTTTGGAGCAACGATTTCCCAAACCTGTTTTATTATGTAGGTAGGTATGAAATTAGGTCCTTGACTGAGGTTATAGTGTAGCCCCTTGAGACTGGATTGAATGTACCACCTGCCCTGTGTAGGAGAGGGATTCCCCAGCTTCACAGTGGAGGTGTAGCTCAGGTATCTGCTAGTGATTCCCCCTGCAAGCCCCTATTCATGCAGGTCAGGAAAATATTGT